AGGAAGCAGCCCCTCAGGGATGGCCTTCCCAGTCTTGGCCCCCCAGACGGTCCCCTTCCTGGCTCCATCTTTCAGGTCTGGGAGAAGCCTCCCTGGTGCCCTCCCTGCTGGTCTGGCTTCAGGGCACTCAGCAAGGCCTGCAATGGCTTTCCTCAAGTGTCTGTCTCTCCCCCTAGAATGCAAGCTCCTTAACAGCAGGGACGAAGCTCCTGCTCCAAGCTCAGGGCAGCATTAAGAAAATCCTGGAAGGGGACCAGCAGTTAGCGTAATGGCTATGTCGCTGGACTCCCACGTAGTCGAAGGTGGTTTGCGTCCAGGATCCGGTGGCTTAAAACTCACGCCGGGCACGTGTGTGTGCGTGCCCAAGATCCCGAGAGGAAATGGAGGAGAAGGGATTGCTGTGTGACCATCCCCTCTGGGGGGTGATTTCTTGTTTTCTGTCTCTCTGTCTCTCTCTGGTGAGCGCATGCGCCCTATAGCAAAAACCTCTAAAAGAAAGAAAGAAAGAAAATCCTTGAAAATTTTAAAAAAGAACATTTCTTTGCTGAGCATTTTCTGTATTTACCACTGTATTTCTCTTAGTCGGACTTGGTATGCCTTCTGTGCCTGTAAATACGTTTCTTCCTTATTTTCTTTGCTAACACCTACTTGCCTCTCTAAGCCCACAGAACACAGGCTTTGCGGCTTTGCTGGGCAGGTCTCCCCAGCCCCATCCTGCCACAGGAGTCTCCCGAGGGGCAGAGGCAACCCAGCATGGTGCCGGTCACAGCCCGAAAGCCCACTCCCAGCCTGGCAGGCCAGTGGAGGTGGAGGAGGGACCAGCTGCTGGGCCAAGCTGCTTTATCGATGCTGGTGAGGGCCCTGGGGAAATCAAGGGGAAAGGCAGCGTCCTGCTGAGGACGAGGCCCACCCCCGTTTATCAATCAGAGGGCCTGGGCTGCCAGAGGCCCCGGGAGGAGGGACCCCACATTCACTAGGTGGCCCCAAATAAGGCCCTCCTCCTGCCTAGACACTGTGGGGAGACTGGGGGTGCTGGGGCTGCATTTCCAGCACAGCCCTAATTCTAGACACTGGAGTTTGGTTTTGGAAAATGTGGTCGCTGGAGCTAGCCGGCTCGCTGACAGAAACCCTGGGCACTTGGGGTGAGGAGGCAGGTGAGGGCCCGGGAGCCTCTGGGCCTCCTGCAGGTGGGACTGGCTGCTGGCCTTGTGGCCTGCCAGCCCCTCTGACTCCAGTCAGGACCAGAGGAGCAGTGGGAGCCCTGGAGGAGGAAGTGGGCAGGGCATGGGGCACAGACGGAACCCACAGATGAGAGGCCCCAAGCTGAAGTCCACCCCAGGAGCTAAAGAGGCTGAAACAAGCAGGGGACAGGGCATAGTGACCCCACCCCACTCCAGCTGCTCCCCCAGAGGGCCTGCCCTTGCTCCCCCCACCCCCCACTTCACAGTGCTGAGGCTTTTGAGCAGAGTGAAGATGTCAGGAGAAAACGCCAAATCGGATTGAGGCTCCTGCCCCCCTTAATGAGGTTCATTATCAGCTGCCCTGATCCTTGTAAAACCCTGCAGGCCAGCCGGATTAGGGGCAGGCTGTCTAATCCCCCCCTGGCAGACCAGGCCTGCCTTCCCCAGGGAAGGGGGGAGAGGGGCCAGGCAGGTGTGGGCGCCTCCTTCTCCTAAGGCAGACCTGGAGTTCCTGCAGGGTGGGAGAACAGGGGTGGCAGGAGTGGCCACCCACCAAGGCCTGTCCCCAAGGCATGTGGAGACAGCAGGGTCTGGGGCACAGAGAGCTCCATGGGTGGGGGGGGGGGGCCTGGAGTCTGCGCAGCGCAACTCGACCTGCCACCAGGGCTCCAGCAGCAAGTGAAAGAACACACTGCTGCTTGCCTTAACAAAAATAATTTATTCCACAGCCCTCCCATGCTTGGACGGGGTGGGGACCAAGTCTGTGTACAGCGTAGACCTCCCCTCAGACCCTCTGGGAGGTGGACCTTGAGGAAAGTCACTCCCCTCACCACCTTCCACATCCAAACATCAGCATCTATTTTGGAGAACAAAATAAAACACAAAAGGCCCAGCTCATGGCGGGGGCCGGGGGGGTGGTGCAGAGTAAAGCACATTCATTGCAACATTTTTCTGGAGGATTCCCTCTGCCCCTCCCAGCAGAGGCCAAGCCAAGGCACTACAGATCCCAACACCATTTCCTGCATCCAGGCCACCAGGCCCTACCAAGCAAGCCACACCCCACCACCATGCCATGCCACGCCCCCCTGCCCCGAGCTGGACAAGCACA